TCCTTTCCTTTCCTTTCCTTTCCTTTCCTTTCCTTTCCTTTCCTTTCTTCTTTCTTTTTTAGACATGCTTAATATGAGAATTCATTTTGAATGATTATACATATTTGTAATGGGTTTTGTTTTTCTTGCTTTCTCAGTGCATGGGGGAGAGGGGAGGAGAAGGGAGAGAATTTGAAACTGAAAATAAAATAAATTGAATTCTAAAACAACTACAGTAGATGCTCAATAAACATTTGTTAAATGTGTGAATGAATGATGTCTCTAGCACAGCATGACTACATCTGGGTGGGATTTTAGAGATCGTCCAGTCTATCATTTCATGAATGTGGAAACTAAAGCCCAGAGGAGGTAAGGGACTTCTTTAAGGTCACACAGCAAGTCAGTGTGGAGCCAGAATACAGCCCAGGACCCTTGGCTACTATCCTAGCACTCTCTCTACCATGAAAGCTCAGACCTACTTCCTTTTGTTTTTAAAGGGACTTGTAGTTCATTCTGCTGTCTGTAGTCAAATTCTACCCTTTTTACTGATGCTTCAAAAGAGCCAAGGTCCAAAGCCTGCAGGTTCTCAAGGAATTTATGTCCTAAAAAGTACGCATACATCGAATAATAATAGTTAACATTTATATAGTGCTTTAAGGTCTGTAAAGCGCTTTATGTACATTGTCTTATTTGGTTTTCACAATAATCCTGCATAAAGAGAATGATATAAATACATAAAATCAACAACTTTGTGGAGTAGGTACTCTTATCTTTATTTTACAGATAGGGAAAGAGAATGAGAAAGATTAAGAGACTTGTCCAGGTCACACAGCTGGTAAATTTCAGAGGCAAGATTTGAACTTGGGGCTTCTTGACTCTAAGTCTAGTCCACTATGCCACCTTGCTCTCTGCTTATGTAAGCAAATACAGAATAAATACAAATACAATCAATCTAGCAATAAGCACTTATTAAGCACCTACTGTGTGCCATGCAGATGGCATGTATAGTGGATAGTGAGCTGGCCTTGAAACCTGAGTTCACATCTTGCCTCTGACCAGCAATGTCTATGTGACCCTAGGCAATCCCTTACCTTCTCAGTGCCCTGGATGGTTCTCTAACACTATAAGCAGTAGAGAAGATGAGATTAACCTGCATTGGTAGAGTGAGTTTCCTCACCCACAAGTACCCTAGACCAATGAAGTTCCATTGGTGTAGTTCTATCCCAACTCCTCCTACTGTGTGTCACACATGGTGCCTCCTACTATGTGCCAAGTATAGTGGGATACAAGATACACAATTTTATTCTAATAACAGGAGTCGAGGTCCCAGGTGGATTGGGATTAGCTCAGATCCTCAACAAAATTATGAAATTTGTCTTCAGCCACCCCAAAGTCCTTTTTATGACCTCGTTTTGTGCTTTTACTGTGCCCTTCTTCTTGGGTGCCCCTCTCAGACTTGCCCTAGGATACATTCATTCACACTGAAGTGCTGAGAACTGAGTGTGTCATCTCTGCCAGAAACATTTGAATTCTATACCTGGAAAAGTCAGTGTTGAACATAAAGCACAAATCATGGAATTGCAGAACGATAAGATTTAGAACTAGGGACCTTAGATATCAGCTGGTTCAACCCCCTAATTTTACAGGAGACAAATTAAGGCCTTAAGAGGTAAAGCTGATTGCTCAAGGTTACACAGGTTAAATAGTAGAGCCTTGAATCAGGTCCTTTGATGGATTTCCCTGGGCACCAATGGTATAATTTCAAACATAAGTAAGAGTCATATACACCTAGGTGAATGCCTAATCTTCTTGGGCAGAAGGTGAGCCCTGGATAGGACAGCATTCTGGGCTTTTCTCCTTCTGGACAGGAGAGTGTTAAATTCAGTGCTGAATTCTGAGTCAAAGCCTCAAGGATGTCCTGTCTGAGACCAAATCCAGAAATGACTGCTAAAGGTTGAAAGCCACACACACACACCCTTGATCAACAGTATTTTTGTATCCAGGTAAATATGGAGGATGGGGAAGATTATTTAAGCATTGGCACAAAGAAAATGGGGCTATGTTCTTCCTTATCGAGGTCCCAGGAGGAAGTTCCAGAGTACTCTGGGACGCTGGGGACCTCGGCTTTTGAGTTCAGACTTCAGGAAGCTGCCTGTGAGAAAGAGAGTCCCTGCTAGGACAAATGGGAAGGGATGTTCAGGTGGGCAGCCTCCCATTCTGCCCTCCTTACATAAAGATGCCTTTTTGCATCCTCTTTACTGGTCCAATCCTTCCTGTCTTAAAAGGACCACAGCCATGCCTGGTCAGAACATACTAGGGAGGCCTTATGGTACAGTGGAAGGAGCCCTGTCTTTTGAGTTGGATGTTATGGGTTCAAATTCTTGCTCTACCTCTTTTTACCTCAGGGTCATTAACCTCTGGGTTTCTGTTTTCTCACCTTTAAAATGAAGGCATTTGATTAGGTGACGTCTAATATCCCTTCTAGTTCTGATCATATGATTCTGCAAGGGTCTGTCAGGCAGCTGTCAAAATTTTTTTTTTTTGGTCAATCAGGGTTAAATGACTTGCCCAAGGTCACATAGCTAATAAGTGTCTGAAGTTGGATTTGAATTCGGGTCTTCCTGACTCCAGTGCTCTATCCACTGGGCCACCTAGCTACCCCCCTTTTTTTTCAATCTCATTAAATCCTGCCCCCTTTATTCAATAGGAAATCTTCCAGTTCTGCCTTGGCAGCTAGTTCCAGGGCCATGGATATTACCTTGGAGGTTTGATTACCCTCAAGGAGGCACTTAGCAAAACAGGAGGTCTTGAGGATGATGATAGCTGATAAAAATCCTGCCCTTTACAAGAAGGCTTTCTCAATCCTCTTTAATGTTAAAGTCTTCCCTCTCTTGATTATCCCTGATTTATTCTGTATATATGTTGTTTATATGTTGTTTCCCTCATTAGATTGTAAGCTCTTTGAGAGCAGGGACTGTTTCTTGCCTTTCTTTCTTTTTTTGTAACCTCGGTGCTTAGTGCAGTGCCTGGCTCATAGTAGATACTTAATGAGTGTTATTGATTGATCTTATCTCATTTGATCCCAATCCCCATCTTACAGGTAAGGAAACTGCGGCTGAAGGAGGTTAAGTGACTTGCCCAGGGTGCAAGACACAGACACAGCTGGCAAATGTCTGAGGTAGGACTTGAACCCAGGTTTTTCCAGACTCTGAGTCCAGTGTATTATTCATTATGCCACCGAGCTGGTTCTACACTACCTAGCTGCTCTATTATAGTACTTCTGCTACTATGGTAAAGGTCCTTAACCTTTTATGCTTCCTCCTTCCCCTTCAATAAAAATTTGCAGTCCCACCCAGTGAACAGGTACAGTTTGTAGATGTACATTAAACATATGTTAACTACTAGAATAGGCTCACATACAGACTACCAAGATGGAGAGGTCACACGCAGGTACATGTACAAGTACAGCAAAAGTACATGTAGCCAACAAAGCAAAGAGTTCCAGTGCAATACCTTACATCACGCCAGGGGTGAGTAGAAAGCACGCATTATGTACATTCCAATAGTGGGCACCGTCTGGTGAGAGGTATAATTTCTTTAAACATTACCCTTGCAGCATTCTATGTCAACTTGGTTGCTGGCCAGATAGTTCTGGCATTTCTATGGTAAACCACTCCCAGTACGTCCCCCCAGTTATCCTTAGGCCCTCTTGGCATGGAGCCCCAATCGTAGCCTATTATGAATGCTCCAGTCTTAGGTCCTAATATTCCAAGCTTTGTAAGGAGCCCTTGGGGCCTCCACTGCTAAAGTGTTACCCAGGAAGGGGATAGCCTCTGAATTAAGGCCTCCTTTCATCTGGGCAGAATTATCCCTTAGGGCAAGGAAGTCTTGGCCTCTTCCCCGATTACTGAGAAGGCAAAACATGTAGTTTCCTCTTCATCTGGGTCTTGATTTCTATTCTCCCCGTAGAGGTCATCATTTGGTGCCACCTATTCTGTAACTGGTAGTATAAGTCTCTGTTTGGGGCCTTCCTCCCTGATTCTCCATCACTCCTGTGCCCCTGGCCACAGCGGGGTCAGAATGCCGCCCTTATGGGCAGCTGGTCATTGCAGCCTGTTTTGAGGGAGCTCTGGGACTGTCTTGATGGATTGATCTTTAATGACTTGGTGTGAGGTGGCTCTCCATTGGCTCTTAATCTTGTATTTTCCCCAGACACCAACATTTAGTATAAGGACTCTTACCCTTAGATAGGATGTTCTTCACAGAGAATTCAAGCAACATCCTATTGCTTCTTCTCTCAGCTCTTTTGAGCTGAGGCTATAGCAAGGCAGTAGGGCTCCTACAACTCATCTCTCAGCTAAATGATGTGTTGATTGTGATATTTCACATAATAGTAACAATAACAATAATAATAATAATTAACATTTTAAGGGTTGCAAAATGCTTTATGCATAGAGTCTCATTTGATCTTTACAAGCAACCCTAAAAGCTAGGTGCTATTCTCATCCCCATTTTATAGATGAAGAAACAGAGGTGGAAAAAAATGGCTTGCCCAGGGTTACACAGCTAGTGGTTGTGGCATGATTTGAACTCAGGTCTTCCCATCTCCATGTCCAGCACCCTATCCATGATACCACTTAGATGCACATCTCTTCTAGCTTCCAAAACACAAATCCATCACCCAAATATCAGCAGGCATATATCTTGAGGGTCACATGCTGATCTCCCCAAGCCTCTTTCAGCTCTCAGAGTCCCTGGCATGTCCAGTAGTATGCAGCTGACATGTTGTAGTCATGGATCTCTGGGAGGATGCCAAGGTGTCCTTGGAGACTTCTTGGTTCTGGTCAAGGCTAGCACCAACTTGAGAAGCTTGATCCCAAAGCCTTGACCTTTCTCAGCATCCCACTGGATCCTGGTGGGGAATCTGTAGGCAAAGAAGTACTTTTCACACCATACCTTGGCTACTGTGGAAACTGCCTGGCCGCTGAGTAAGTAGTACTAGGCACACTAGTTTAGGTGGCTTGTCTCCACAAGGAAGCTATTTAATATCCCTCCTTTCCTCTTCCAGAGATAAGAAGTCTGTGCACATCAGTTCCAAAGACTGCTCCCTTGCGGGACCACTGAAGGTCAGTAATCCTTTCCTCTGGACAACCTGGGCACAGATCTCACACAGGTCTGGCATATATCCATTGCCATCTTGGGTTAGTAGAAACTGCACCAAATCTAAGGGTCTCTCTTGACCCAAGTGATTATGTTAGACTGATGGGCAAGGCAGCCGATGCTCAGGTTCAGATCATAGGGCATAGCAAATGAATATGTAGCAGAGACAGAGAGAGAATGTGTTGGTAGATATGTATAGAATGAAGTGAGGTTTACTGCAGGGGTATAAAGGAACAAATGTCAATCAACAGTTTGGTTAGCAGGGCATAGTTAACTGCAGGCCCTGGGCTAGTAGGCCAAATAGCCATCCATCTGCCTATCCATCCATCCATTAATCAAAAAAAGCTTTTATTAAGCACCTACTATGTGCTGGGCTCTGTGCTAGGGTCCTGGGGATATAAAGACAAAAGTGAAATAGTCCTTGCCTTCAAGGAGCTTATTGTCTATTGGAGGGAAAATATGTACATTGTAAGTAACTGCCAATATATATATCATTCTGTACCCTAGACTCCTGATAACTGAAGACATTGTCAATATGCCACCAGGAATTCATGATAGTTAAAAGGACATTTCAACTATCAATTCATGGCACTTCAAATGTAAGGGTGGCAGGGACCTCAGAGATCATCTGGTCTGCTCCTTGGAAACTGAGGCTAAGTGATTTATCTGGGTCATACAGGTAGTAAGTTCAGAAGCACTTTGTTGTTGTTCAGTCATTTCAGTTGTCTCTGACTCTCTGTGACCCCATCTGAGGTTTTCTTGGCACAGACACTGGAGTGGTGTGCCATTTCCTTCTCCAGCTCATTTTACAGGTGAGGAAACTGAGGCAAACAGGGTTAAATGACTCGCTCAGGGTCGCACAGCTGGTAAGTGTCTAAGGCCATATTTGAACTCATAAAGATGAGTCTTCCTGACTCCAGGCTCTGGGGCTCTATCCACTGTGCCACCTAGCTGTCCTTCCTACATGACTCAAAAACACTTCCTCCCTCCCCCTCTCACCCCCTAGTGAGGAGCTGGGGGTAGGTGGAAAATCATTCATACAGCTGTGATTTTTTTTTCAGTGAGGCTAGTTCCGTTAGGTTAGAGGCTGTTATAGCAAATTTGAGCCCTTGGCTGTGGGGCTTTATTACTGTTTCAAAATGAGATCCTCTTCAGCTGCTTTTGTGCAGGACACTTACACAGCAAAAATTAGAGGCAGCGCTGGTGGGGCTGTGCCTAGCTGCCCTATGACTGGTGGGAAAGCCATGAGCTGAGAGAGGCTGATGCCCAAGAAACAACCTTCATCAGAAAAGAGAACTCAAGACATGCAGGCGTAACCAGCATAGAGACATTTAATGGGGTTAGTGTTAGATCTGGGCTTTTTATGATGATTCACAATGACAGAACTCCCACCTCTGACATAGTGCTTTCCTGGACGTGGAGCTGTGGGCCTGGATTCCTTCCAACTGCCTTCTCATACCTCCTGTCAGCTCAGTGCTGGTCAATAATCCATTCATTATATTGCTCCAGCTTCTGACATTTTTCATAGTTTGGTTCTCTTTGGTGGAGGGTGGGGACTAAGTTTGAGTCCTTGATGATCCTATCCATCTTCCTTCCTTCCTTCCTTCCTTCCTTCCTTCCTTCCTTCCTATCTTCCTTTCTTTCTTTCTTTCTTTCTTTCTTTCTTTCTTTCTTTCTTTCTTTCTTTCTTTCTTTCTTTCTTTCTTTCTTTCTTTCTTTCTGTCTTTCTTTCTTTCTTTCTGTCTTTCTTTCTTTCTTTCTTTCTTGTGGTGGGAGGCAATTGGGGTTAAGTGACTTGCCAAGGGTCACACAGCTAGTAAGTATCCCAGGCTAGCTTTGAACTCATGTCCTGACTCCAGGGCCAGTGCACCACCTAGCTGCTCCTCCTATCCCCTTTCCTTGACCTGCACGACTTCTTCACCATCAATTATCCCAGGACAAATAGGGGAGTAAGGACTGGTCTAATACTCCATTTACTTTCATTAATGGCACACTCTTTGAAGAAGGTCCCAGAATCTGAGTTGCACCTTCTTTAGCCCCTATACAAAAAAGGGGGACACAATTTCCAACAAACTCTTTGGTTGGTGGGAGAAGCAACAACTTCCTGGACCACTCACACTCCTAGGGTTGAGCTGGGGCTGGAATGCTTCCCCTGGTTCTCTATCCTAGCACTTGGCCTTTCCATCCCACCTCCCGCGTTATTTCTTCCCTACCTTTGATGTCTCTCTACCAAGCCACTACTGCCATCTGATGGACCTGTTTGTTATCTGCAGCTCTTGGAGAATATGGTTGGTGAACGTTTCAAAAAGGAAAATGGTGATTACAAGGAGCCAGTATGGCTTCAACATGAACAGGTCAAGGGAGACTAATCTCATTTTCTTTTTTTTTTTTTTTTAATTAAGCAACATCACTAGCCTGGTATATAAGGGAATGCTGTGGATATTGTTTATCTAGATTCTAGCAAAGCTTTTGTTAAAGCAAAATTTAATTATTCTTATCCTCATGTATATTATGTATTTATATATTATGTTATAATTTATTTATGTTATATTATTATTATTATTACTATCCTCACATTATTCCTGTGGAGAGGATAGAGTACTATATAGTATATACTATATACTATATGTAGTAACTAGCTGACAATATAATTAGACTGATCCAGAACTCAAAGAACTGTTGTGAATAGTTTGATGTCAGTGGAGCAGGTGGTCTCTAGTTAAATACACCAGGGATCTATGCTTGACCCTGTACTGCTTAACATTTTTATCAATGTCTTGGATAAAAGGCGTAGGTGGTATGTTAACCAAATCTGCAGGTAATACAAAGCTGGGAGAGATAGCTGATAGACTGGACAACAGAGTTAGGATTCAAAAGGATCTTGATAGGCAATCCAAAGGGTTGCAATTGAGGGCCTGGAAGGCCACATGTGGCCTTGAGGCCTCAGTTTCCCCATTCCTGGATAGAGCATCGGGCTGCCTCTAATAATATGAAATTCATTAACCTCAAATGTAAAGATTTACTTGTTGCTGTTCAGTTGTTTCAGTCATGTCTGACTCTTTGTGATCCCATTTGGGGTTTTCCTGGGAAAGATACTGGAGCAGTTTGCCATTTCCTTCTCCAGGTCATTTTACAGATGAAGAAACTGAGGTAAACAGTGTTAAAGTGACTTGCCCAAGGTCACATAACTAGTAAGTGCCTGTGGCAAGATTTGAACTGTCCATAGTAAGAGGCATAGATTGTACACTCCACATTCCTAGAATCTATTAAGAGGCATAGATTCCAAGAATACAGAGGTGTCAATCCTCATCTCATGGATTGGACAACAATAGTTCCCTGCTCAAGCACGCCTTAATGGTTATTTTTTGGGCCCTCCTGGCTCAGAGTGAATATATATATAGCAACTGTTTCTCCTTTGGCCAGCAACCCTGAGGGTCTTCCCCTCCCAGTTTGATTTTTTTTTTTATTAAAGGGGCCATCCCTTGACTTACCTCTTAAAGAGGCCTAGTCACTGAATGAGCGTTGCCTCACTCAAAGCGAGAATCTGAAAAGACCTTAGCTTAAAAGGGACAGGGTCTCCCACTGCATCCTGTGCCATCTCCAGTCATCCTGATCCATATCTGGTCACTGGACCCAGATGGCTCTGGAGGACAAAAATGAGGCTGATGATCTTGCATAGCCCGCCCTCACTCAAATCAAGCACAGTTGCAAGTCATGTCGTCATCTCCCTGATGTCTTGGTCCTCTTCAGGAACAAAGGACAAACCACACACAACCACAACTCTGCACTCATCAGATCTCATCTGTAGTACTTGTGGACACCATGGAAGAACATTGACAAGTTACATGGTATCCAGATAAGGGCAGACAGTAAGTTGAAAGGCCTCGGGTCCATATAATGTGAGGAGAGGTTAAAGGAATGGGGGATGTTTAGCCTGAAGAGTAAGACTCAGATGGCACGTGATAGCTATGTTCAAAATTTAAAAGATTGACCGCTAGAAGAGAGATTTGATGGGTTTTGTTTGGTCTGTGAGGACAGAACCTCAATGGGCAGAAGTTTCAAAGAGACAGATTTAAGCTTGACATGAAGACAATACTTTGTAACCGGTAGAGCTGTCCCAAAGTGGCATGGTCTCCCCCTCATTGATGGGTTTGCCCTCACTGGAGACCTTTAGGCAGAGTTTGCATGGCCACTCATTGGATGGATTAGAGTAGGGCTTGTTTTCATCTATGGGTTGGAATGGACAACCACTCTCAAATTCACTGATTCTGTGATTTTTCTTCCTTGAGGTGAATATTCTTATCTTTTATTAGTCTGGCTCATAACACAGCCATCTGTCAAGATACACTTTCTCAATCTCATTCATGCCTTCCACGCCTCCACCGTGGAAAGTCTCCTAGTTAACTCTGATAGGTTAAGATGAGTGAATTCTTTTCAACTTTCCTCATGCCCCTGGTAGCTAAAGAGAGCCATGCGAGCTATTATTAATATCATAGAGTTTAAACTTTGACCAGTGTTTCATATGTGTGTGTGTGAGTGTATGTGTCTGTGTGTCTGTGTGTGGATGTGTACGTGTGTATGTGGATATACATGTGTGTATGTGTGAGTGTGTAAGTGTGTGTATGTGTACATGTGTGTGAATGTAAGTGTGTGTACATGTGTCTATGGGTATACATGTGTGTATGTGTGTGTGGATGTGTACGTGTGTATATGGGTATACATGTGTGTGTGTGTGAGTGTGTGTGTGTGAGTGTGTGTGTGTGTGTGTGTGTGTGTGTGTGTGTGTTTTGAGGGTCAGAGGTGGTCATGTTGTTGGTTACCTCCCAGGCTGCTCTTCTTTGAAAGCCGAAGCCCGGAGGACACTGACCTACCAGGCGCCCTGAATTCAGAGTCCTCTATGACCTGAGGCCAGCCGTTGGATAAGCTCTCGGGGCCTCAGTTTTTAACTCTGTAAAATGAAGGGGTTGGAGTAAATGGTCTCCGGGGTCCTTGTGGTTCTAGATGTATGATGCAAGAGTAGGTTCCAGCTGCTTCCTGGGACAGTGACAGTTTTCCTGGGGTGGGGAGTTCACAGCGTCAGTGGTCTGGGATATGTCCCCTCTCTGCCGCTGACCTCAGCTCTCCAATGGGCTAGTCTCTGGTGGAGGAAGCTCCATTAGCCACTAGGGGTCAGGATTGAGTCACCCAGGAGAAGGCTCGGGCAGATGTCTGGAACAATAAAGGGGCCCTTCCCTCCAGCCTACTCCAACAGATGCCCTATAAAGATATCCATAGGTGTTGCAAGAAAAATCGGATAAACTTTGGTGGAAAGAACGTGCCCTGGCCTAGGATTTGGGATGCTGGAATCTAGTTCTGCTCCTGACTGTGTGAGACACACACACACACACACACACACACACACACACACACGAAACACTGGTCAAAGTTTAAACTCTATGATATTAATAATAGCTCGCATGTATATAGCACCTGCTATGTACTAGGCACTTTCCTAAGTAATTTAACAAGTATCTCATTTAATCCTTACAACAATATTATCCCCATTTTGCAATTGAGGAAACTGGGGCAAAGGTTAAGTGACTTGTCCAGGAACCGCACAGCTATTAAGTGTCTGAGGCAGGATTTGAACTCAGGTCTTTCTGACTCCAGGCCCTGCACTCTATCCGCTGCACCACCTAGCTGGCTCCAAATGAGGCTCAGCTTCCTTATATCTTCACAAGGGATGATACCTCCCCTTGTCTATCTCAGTGCTCTTGGGAGAGTACTAGATGGGAGATAGATTTGTAGACTGCAGAGGGCTAGGAAACTGCACTGGGGCTGATGGTATTGATAGAATGAAAAGCGGTGCAATGGAACATACACCCTCTCTGAAGTAGAAAGAGCTGAGTTCAAATCCCACCTTTGATGCTTTTTGCTTTTGTGAACTGGCAAACCATATCACATCACCTCTTTCTGTCTCAGTTTCTTCATCTGTACAATGAGGGGGTTAGACTAAGTGATCTCTTGGGTCCTTCCTGGTCAGCTCTAGAGTGATGATTCTAATAGTCCTGTCCAGCCCCTGCCTGGTACAATGGCACCTTTTTTGGGATGTGGTGGGAGGAAGTTTCTAGGGTCAGTTGTTGTCAGGGCAACCCCTGGAGGCCAGGAGACAGTTTAGGGGTAATAGCTTTCTGCTATGTCCTTGGGGTTCAGGGGGACCAATTTCACTTGTTTCAAAATGTTGCCGAGGCCTGACCATCACAGATTTAAAAAAAGAACTCTATGTATAAGCAGCTATTTAGGAATTAGCCTTCTGCCGTCCCTCAACTCTCCATTCCCCCCCCCCCCCCCCCCATAAAGGGCTCTCTCTCTCTCTCTCTCTTTTTTTTTTTTTGGCTAGGCAATGGGGTTAAGTGACTTTCCCAGAGTCACACAGCTAGTGTCAAGTGTCTGAGGCCAGATTTGAACTCTGGTCCTCCTGACTCCAGGGTCAATGCTCTATCTACTGTGCCACTTAACTGCCCCTCTCTCTTTTAAAACAGTATTTACATTTTATTTTTTTTATTGATGTCTTTTCTTGCATTCCTTCCTTTTCTCATCCTTCCTTTCCCTTTCCTTTTTTCTTTTCTCTTTTTACTCTTCCTTTCCCTTTTTTTCCACATCTTTTCTTAAGGATTCTGGCCCCTGCTGTGATGAACCTTATCTTGTAATACACAGAACTCTCCAGAGGTAGGACAACCTAGGCACCTCCCAGATCTGGGGGGCTTAGACCCAAGACTGAAACAGTTGGGGTTGTCCTCACCCTCGGTAGGCAGGGGCTAGGGATGAGGTAGAACTTCCCAGGTGTCCCTAATGTAAGCAGCAGGGAGGGAGGTTAGTGCCAGGAGGATGGATGTCCCCACCCCTGCTGCTCCATATCTGCTGGTATAGACCTCCAGGGATGTGTCCTAGTCCCGGGGGCAAGACTGCCAGGATCTGCCTGGTCACTTCCATTCTCTGCCACTATCCATATTTCCATCTGAGTTTTCTCTCCCCTCTAATTCCTGAAGTAAACACAGTCCTTTTTTAATTTCTTAAAGGTTATTATTTTTTTTTAAATTGCCAGCACTACAGGAATGCTGATAAGAAGTGAAATAAGTCTTGGATAAAGTTAACAAAATTTCAAAGTCACAAAAAAGTTATTCCTGGTCTTCATAAGGATATGTCTGTAGCTAGACCTACTCTCTTTTAGCTCTACTCTTGACTTTTTCATTCAAATTGTCTTCAAACATCTTGAGAGTAAATTCCACCAAACCCATCTATTGAGAGAGATGCTCAGGACCACCCAAACTGGAGGAGGCGCCTTTTCATGGATTGACATGTTTAGTTACAATAAGTAGGCAGATGGAAAACAGTGCCCAGAATTCCTCCCTTGGTTTTTGGCTCTGTCTATAAGGATGGTCAAGGATCTTAAGATGCTGCCATAGGAGACTCAGTTGACAAAACTTAGGGTGTTTAGCCTGAAGGAGAGAAGATATATATATATATATATATATATATATATATATATGTATGTATGGCTGGGAAGGAGAGGATGATAATACTGACATAGGATAAACTATTCAAATATTTAAAGTGCTGTCATTTGGAAGAAGAATTAGACTTTTCTTCTTGTCTCCAGCAGACAGAACTAAAAAAAGTGATACTGGACTGGAGTGGGGAAAAAACCCAGATGGGAAAATGAACGGTGGCCAGAAATTTGCAGAAAAGCAAATTCACACACCTGGGCAGAGAACGCTGGAAATATTTTTGAGCGGCCATTTTCCCGGGTACACCACAGAGGTCATTGCTTCCCATCAGCTGTATTTGTGTGCAAGGGATCCGATTGACTCTGACTGATGAGTCCCAAAGATGACTTTTAACTTGTAGCAAAGCTTGAGGAGGGAAAATTCTGAACAGTATGTCCTTTGTCCTAGAATGGTTCATGTGCTAGAACAACCACAATCAGTTAACTAGAGAAGTCATGGCTAAGGGAAGGGCCATGCTCAAGTTAGTTTCAGTACTAAATGTTAGCACAGTCAGGGAGGCAGGTCAAGTGAACTATAGAAACAGCAAGGCAGCAGCTGCTGCTAGTAATCCTGATGAACAGCTTCTCTTCCACTCTACTGTATTTAGAGGAAGGGTAGAGCTACATGCTCTCTAAAGTATTGGACACTTAACCCAGTACAAGAGTCTGAGGAGCAAAGACTGTCTAGGTCAAATTTTCTGTAATCTGGCCCCACTCAGCTATCCACCCTCATCTTCCATTTTATATTATATTTATATCATATTATGTTCTATATGCAATTGATATTCTAGCCAGAATGGTCTCCCTATTATTCCCCTAACACATTTCCATGCTTTAGACTCTGACTGGAATGCCCTTTTCCTTACTTTTCCCTACAGATTCTCCCCACTTGTTTAAAGTTCTTCTCATCCTTCAAGGGCCTGCTTAAGTCCTGCCCTCTTTGGGAAGGCTTCTTTGACTACTCCAGCCTTCACTGATCTTTTAATTCCCTGAATTCCAACAGCACAGGCACTCGTATCTGGTCAGGCCCAAACCAAACCAAATTGTGCTTCACATCCCATTCCAGCCATCCATGCCATCTGCCTGCCTGGACCAGCCCCTTTGCACCAGACCACCAGAATCCATGCCACCTGCCTTCCTGGACCAGCCCCTGTGCACCAGGCCACCAGAATCCATGCCATCTGCCTGCCTGGACCAGCCCCTGTACACCAGACCACCAGAATCCATGCCATCTGCCTGCCTGGACCAGCCCCTGTGCACCAGGCCACCAGAATCCATGCCACCTGCCTGCCTGGACCAGCCCCTGTGCACCAGGCCACCAGAATCCATGTCCTCATTCCTGGGGAAGTTAATCTACTCTAGCCTAGTCTACTATAATTAATTGGCCTTGGCCCATACCATCTTTATCCATCCATCCATCTGGGTCATCTTGTCATTAGCCCCTCCATAACCCGTGTAACTCTTCTGCAGTCCTGCTGCTCTGGCCGCAAGAATGAAATCAAAGGTACTATTCTTTTTGGAAAGGCTTTTGATAATTGACAGCCCTATGGATCAATTCACCATCCAGATGATAACTCTCTTCACTGGCCACCATTTTCCTATATTTATTGTTTTCCTCATTAAAATGTAAGTTTTTCAAGGGCAGGGACTATATTACTTTTTATAATGATAGCCTCAGAACTTAACACAGTGCCTGGTACATAACTATTTCATAAATTATTTTTCCTTTCTTTATTCGAGGTACCTAGGTGTCAAAGTGGATAGCATCTACTATACAGGAGGATCAAATGAGATAATATTTGTAAAAATCTTAACACAGTGCCTGGCACATAGTAGGTGCTTAATAAATGTTTCTTTCCTTCCTTTCTTCCTTCCTTCCTTCCTTCTGTGCCTGTGGGTTCTGGGCTCACTTCACTGGTCACGATGGTCACAATGACCAGCTATGGTTGGAGGCTTGATGTCCAAACTGTTCCTGGATTCCTCAGGTAAGGGAAGAGTGTGACTACATAATAAACACACACCCTGTCTTTGGGTACCTGTGCTGGAATTGCCCAGCTGCCCCAGCCAAGACTGACTTTGATGAGTCTGTGTGCTAAATGCAGTGATGGACTGGGAGTCAGGAAGGCCTGAGTTCAAATTCTGCTTCTGAGATTCATTGAGTAGATGACCACAGCCAAGTCATTAACCTTTTTGTCCCTCAGTTTCTTCATCTGTAAAGCAGAGGTGATAGTACCTGTAATTGTTATGAGTTCCAAGGAGGGTAATTATAAACTGCAAGGTAGATGTTAAGCAGTTAGCTGGCCAGGGCATGAAGTAAAGCATGGTTAGAGCATCTGTTACAAAAATTGCCAATGTGAAAACTTATTTTGCTGGACTATATATGTTTATAATGAGGGTTTGATTTTTGATTTTTTTAAAAAAATTGCTCAGTTGGGGAACAAAAGAAAGCACAGATTATAAATGTTTATGAAGTTAATTTATAATTTTTTTAATGTTTTTGATAGCATTGTGTGTGTGTGTGTGTGTGTGTGTGTGTGTGTTTGTGTGTAGGCAATTGGGGTTAAGTGACTTGCCCAGCTACTCTATAGCATTTTAATGCACATACTTTAGCTCATTCTAGCCTCACAACAATCCTGGGAAGTAGATAATACAATGATTATTATTCTCTCCATTTGCCTATAGCTGAGGAAACAGATGTGTTAGATCTTCCTGTTGTAACTTGAAATCCAGCACCTGTCCAAGCTGCCTTTCTTAATAAATTCATCTTTTAAAAGCTATAAGGAGGTACTCCTAGATCTAGTGAGACATTCACCAATGGGGAAGGGCATGTTCAGGAACATAAAGGGTTAAAATCCTCCAGAACATAGTATTTGGTTTAGGCTGAAAGATAACTAGCCAGAAGACTGTGGGGAGTATAAAAAATGACGAGGTAATTAAAACAAATTCATTTGATTGGGTCTTCTAATTTTTGATGTACTGTGGCAAACTGCCAGTCACCTTGCCCTAGTTAAGACTGTGGTGAGAGCTGACATTGGAATATCACTTTAATGATTACAAAATATTTTATATACATTATCTAACTGGAGGCAAAAAATAACCTTCTGAGGCAAGAACCTCATCTACTCACATTCCCATCTTACAGATGAGGAAACTGAGACTTCGGGGACGAAGGTGTAAAGGGACTTCCCCAAGCCTGCACAGTGATCGTTGAACAAAGCTGGGATCTGAACCCAGATATTCCCGTGAGTGTGTGTGTATCTGTGAATACACGTTTCTGTTCATGTATCTTACTACTCCTCTTTCCTTCTCTCTTTCCTCTTCTCTGTAGTTACGAGTTCTAAGGAGGGTAGTTCCAAGCTGCAAGGTAGCTGCTGAACAGCTGGCTGGCCGGGGAGTATAGTGAAATAGGGGATGTAATTAGGAGCTCTGACAGTGTTATTGCCTGGGTGGTAGTGATGACGGACAAGATTCAAGCTAACCCAATGAAAACCAATAGAGTTTGCAGACCGCTTTAAGTTTTGCAAAGGGCTTTACATGTGTTGTTTTATTTGATTCTTGTAAAAGCTTTGTGAAGTAGGTTCTATTATTCTATCGATTCTGTTATTATTGTAAATGGTTATATCTAGTATTACTTATTAATTATTTATTTATTAATCAATTAATCTATTATTTATTTACTTATTAATTATTATTATTCCCATTTTACAGGTAAGGAAACCAAAGCTGAGATAGGTTAAGTGATGGTCACATGGCTTGTGAGTATCTGAGGCAGGATTTGAGCTCAGGTCTTCTTGACTCCAAGTTCAGCTTTCCATACTTGAAAGGGTGGAAAAGGGTGCCTGGGTCAAAGAAAACTGGAAGAACCACATACCCAGTTGACTTTAAAGGGAATGGCAACTTTCGCTTTGTCACTGCTTCTTCCTTTCTGCAGATCTTGGGACGTAGGAGCCTGCCCGCTGGCCCAGGGGAGAGGTGGGAGTGCCCCTCTAGTTGGAGTCTCCTGAGCGGGCTGGTCTTCCCCGCTGAGTGGCCAGTCCTCTTTGACAGAGGCTATCCCTGGTGCTGTCCCAGGGCCCAGGGACCAATGAGGGCATTGCTTCATCATTATCAAAGACAAGTCTTTGAGCCCTGAGCTGAAGTGACTTTGATTACCAAAATGGCCAGGCTAATTTGGCCCACGCTCCTAGAAGGAAGAGCTGGCCCCCGAGAAGAGGATGAAGCCAAAACCATTGGTGTTGGTGAAAGGAAGACACACAGGCCAGGAAGAAGGCGGGTCATGAGCTGACCATTTATTTGGATCATTGAAAGAGCAGATATGGACACAATAGACGGGGGGACTTGAAGCAGGATGGCTGGCGAAGGCCCCAGGGCAGGGTCCAGAGGTCTGTTACTTGGCTTTGTGATATCTTAGGCTGCTCTCCTGCCATTGAGGAGACTCCTGGGGGCACTGGTTCAGGGCCACCCAGTAGGTGGTCTTCTGGGCCATCCATAGGAGGACACCTAGGAGTATGATGCTCAGGACTGTTAGTACTATCAGAACCAGGTGCCCCCAGAAGAAGACATGGTGCTGGTCGGGGTACAGCTGCCGTCTGCAGCCCTCCAGCTCATTGCCAGTGAGCTGGTCGAGGGACAGGGCGGCTGTGATGGCTGGCCTGGCACACCTGGTCAGGTGCAGGATTTCCTGGTCATGGTCCTCCAGCCAGAGCTTTAGGTACAAGATTCCACAGTCACAGTGCCAGGAGTTATTGGTCACATCAATTTTGTAGACATAGCTCAGGTGGTCAAAGGTGCCAGCAGGGATGGAACTCAGGTTGTTGTTCTGTAGGTAGAGTTGTCGGGTGGTGTTGGGCAGGGCAGGCACTGTGGTCAGCCCCCTGTTGCTACAGTCTACCACCAGTCCAAAGCTTTCCAGGGTCTGGCAGTCACAGGGTATGGGGCAGGCCAGGCTACCAGGCAAGCCCCACAGCAATAACATCATCCACTTGATGGCTATGGGCATAGGCATCTGGCTGGCTATGGAGGAAGAAGACAACAGTTGAGTGTGAGACATACTGAGTGGGCAAAGAAAAATGACTCTGGGAAAAGGGACAGAGTAGAAGAATTTGGATTTCTTTCCAATCTGATTCCAAATGGAACAGTATTATGAGAACGTACTCACTGGAGTTTTCTTGTCCACTTGCCTAGAATCATAGAACCACAGAATGTTAGAGCTAGAAAGGGCCTGAGAGACCAGATCAAGCCTAGGATTTTTTTTTTTTAGGCAAAGTTAAGTGACTTGCTCAGGGTCACACAGCTAGTAAGTGTCTGAGGCCAGATTTGAACTCAGGTCCTCCTAATTCCAGGGCCTGTGCTCTATCTACCATACTACCTAGTTGCCCCTAGCCCAGGGCTTCTTAACTTGAAGTCTGTGAATTTGTTTTTTCCCCCCTACTTAACAGCATTTAATTTTTTTTTCCAATTACGTGCAAAGATAATTTTCAACATTCACTTTTATAAGATTTTGAGTTCCAAATTTTTTTCTCCCTCCCTCCTTTCCCCCTCTCCAAGACGGCATGCAATCTATGAACTTGTTTTTTAAAATATTTGGACAATTCTTTTCAGCATAATTGATTTCTTTTGTAGTCCTATCTATTTTATTTCATGCTTTTGAAAACATTATTCTCAGAAGGTGGTATATAGACTTCACCAGACTGCCGAAGGTGATCCATGCAGTGGCATGCTGGTAAATGTTTAACAATCAGTTCTCCAGGAGAAGGGGGAAAAATGTGTGGTGATACACTTTTAAGCTTAATCTTCATGATTAACATTTTCCCATCATTTTTAAAAGTCTAGAAATCAACAAAACAATAAACCAAGCTCTCATTTGTAGCATCTGCCTGTTTCCAAGGTGTAAATGTTCACACTGAAAATTTAACAACTAGATTTCTGAGCTGGGATCATGTTGGCTCCATCACACCTGTGGGTCCCGGTTAAGAATCCTAATCTAGTCCAATCCTCCCACTTTACAGAGGAGGAAGAGGAGAGAAGGGAGAGTGTTTATCTGAATTCATACGGCCAGTCACAGGCAAAGCTGGGCTAAGAATCTAAGACTTCTGATGGCTGGACCTACACTAGAGAGAGAAAGAGAGGGAGACAGAGAGAGAGAGAGACAGACAGACAGAGAGACACAGAGAGAGAGACAGAGACAGAGAGAGACAGACAGAGAGAGAGAGAGGAGACTCTCTCAAATGCGGGAAACTCCCTTAATTCAGGTTGACCCTTCCTCTGCAACTTCTAGTTATAGAGAATCACCTAGAATGCTCAGAAGTGAAATGACTGGCCTAGAGTCTCGACCATTGGATGGCAGAGAAGGGATTTCAAGCCAGGTCCTCCTGGTTTCAAGGCTGGCTCTATCCATGACACCTCACTGCCTCTCATTGACTTTGTATATATTTTTTATGTTCTTATGTAATGGGACATTGGCCAAGGAGGGACCAGTCTTTAGCAGCACGTGTGGCATGCTATCACTTATGCTGTGTCCCACGTGGATGTTTAGTGATCCTGATTCCGGGAGTTCCCGATGGGGCAGATTAGAAGGGCCTGGCTCCCACTTCAGAGTGTGCATGGGTAGTCTCTGACTGGTTGGTGAAGAGTTCTTTCCTGCCTAGGAGTCATTGTCACAGGACTATCTTTTAGGGAACTCCACAAGCCATCTTT